GTAACAAACGCAAAGCTAACTGTGTACCAAAGCTAATCGACAACAAAAGAAAGCATTTGGAAAAAAAGCTTTCTGCTGCCCAGAGGGAAGGGTTGCTTATTAAAGAAGCTAAGGAAGATGCCCAATTTCGAAAGGACCTTGCTGAGTCTACAGCAAGTTTTTCTCATAGTATTGAAAGTGTTAGTAAAGCTATGACTGATCTAGGTGCAGGAGTTTGTCGATCAATCGAGATGCTATCACAAGCATTGCAACAACCTTATGCAGTACGTGCACCTGTAAATCAGAATTTGTTCTATCAAAACCCAATGCAAGTTGCACCTCAGGCTGCTGAGGGTGTTTATGCCCAGCTGTTTAGCCAGCAAGATCCAGGAAGCAGTGGAAGCTTTTATTATCAACCATAGAGTTATGACATTATGACATTGTCTAATAGATCTATATTGTATATAGATATACAAACACAACTTGATGCTATGGAAATAACTGACAGAGTTTTCTATTCTATGGGCAAATAAGTTGACCTGCCAATTTCCATTTTTCTGCCAACATTTGCATTTTGTTGATATTTAATTCAATTTTAATACTCAGAGAAGGCCCTGCCTTGTTTTGATTTAATCTGTTATTAGTGGGGAATTTTTGATAATTATTTTTAAAAGTATTTTTTATTCATTGTTTTTCAAATGTAAACAGCCTTGTTTGGCATAATTTGGCCCACAGAAAATGTTTCAAACAGCATTCTAGTGTATCCAACAAAATTTCAGACTTCCTCAGTACGTGTTGTTGTTAAAGTTTCCATACTGAGTTTGACAAATTCAGGCCATAATCCACAGTTGGATTGCTCACTATAGTATTCATAGTTGCCTGATTGCACAAATCTGAGGATGTTTCAGAAAAGGATTTCTTATTACATCTCTACTTGGTTATTTTCCCAACTATATTTTTTCTACTGGTACTGAGTGCTGTTTAAGACAAACATTTTAAGTTAAAATTTTTCTTTGTAATTAACTGAAACCAATACACTAGTTCAAAAAATGGAAATTTATAGTTACAATTAAATTTGAAAAGTGCCACCTACAGTACCTACACTGTAATATGAATCGGTTTTGGCCGATCATATAGGGGCTGGTCAATGAACACTACCAACATTCAAGTGGCCTTAGTTTGTGTTCAAGAATATCAAGTTGTTGTTATATGCTAGGATCTTTCATGTCTTGACAATGTTCAGCTAGCAAATTAAGGGGGAGACCTTTAACTACAAAATGGTAGCTATGGATGACTTCTAACCATCATATCTTGGGCTCCCTTAGTATCCTTGCTTTAGTTTTTGGCCATATTTGTTCTGTTAGAGGTTGCCTTCAGTTTTGGTAGTCATGACCATATTTGGCAAGTCACGTGACCAGAACACAAAAACCGTATAAACTCACACAGCTTACATCCTTCTCCAATGGAACAAAAGCCAACAGGTAGAGTGCATTCAAATGCAAAATTTGTAGAATGGATTTGTTAAAATTCGCATTACTGAAAAAGCTATGACGTCATGAAGTTTTTGTGATGTCATAGCTTCTTCAATAACATACATTTTAACAAATCCATTCTACAAATTTTGCACCTGAATGCACTCTACCCGTTGGCTTTTGTTTCATTGGGGAAAGATGTAAGCTGTGTGAGTTTATACGGTTTTTGTGTTATGGTTACGTGACTTACCAAATATGATCATGACTACCGAAAGTGAAGGCGACCTCCAATAGAACAAATATGGCCAAAAACTAAATCAAGGATACTAAGGGAGCTCAAGATATGACAGTTAGAAGTCATCCATAGCATGCATTTTGTATTTAAGGGTCTCCCCCTTAAGTTAATTAAACTAAGTACAGCAATACATGTAAATAGGGTAAAGTTTAAGTACTACGTTAAAGATTCTTCAGTACTAATTGTGTGAGTGTTGTCCTCACAACACTCCCTTCTCCCACATCACAAGAGTAAATTGGATCAGGAGTGTTTTTAAACTGATCTTCATTTTCCTTCATAACTTGAATTTGCGAGTCAACCAAGTCCTGATCAACATACATGTTATGCTTCTCACAATAATTATGTAATACAAAACATGCATAAATAATTGTTGGTATTGCCTCAAGTTTGAAGTCCACTTTTGTAGTGAGTATGGACCATCTTGCTTTAAGCCGGCCAAAAGCACATTCAATTTGGTTCCTGGCAGAACGCAGCATGTTGTTGAAAACAACTTGTTCATTACTGGTACATGAATCATACTCTTTCATGCAGAAAGGAAGCAATGGATAAGCTGGATCACCAATGAGGTAATTAGGTATTTTGACACCACCTGGAATTGGAGTCTGAAATGTACAGGGCAATTTATTACTTCTTAATTTGGCACTGATGGAAGAATTGGCAAAAACCTTTGCATCGTGGACACTTCCAGGCCACTTACATTCAACATCCATGAAGGAGCCTTTATAGTCACACACAGCCTGCACACTTAATGAAAAAAACTGCTTATAGCAGAAAAAATCTTGTGAGTTCTCTGATGGGCACTGAATTGGAATGTGTGTCCCATCAATGCAACCAAAAGCTCGTGTCATGCCAAATTTGGCTTCAAATTCTGCTACCTTCTCCCTCATGCTTTATTCATCTTCAGGAAGATGGAGATATTTCGGGCCAAGATAGTTTGAAATAGCTTGACAAACCTCATTTAAAACAGCTGATGCAGTGTTGAGTGCTATTCCAAAACTATTGGCTGTCATTCTCAGGGAACCAGTGTCTTTTAAAAAATACAATGCAACTGCAACCTTTTTTTCTGCACTCAATGCCCTGTGGTTAGGTGACTTTGGGTTTGGTGAAATGTATGGCCTTAGCTCCGATACCAGGTTCACAAAAGCAGCCCTTGACATCCGAAAGTTCTCTTTCCAACATTCTTCAGGTGCTACTCCCGTCCAGATGTTTTTCCACCACAAGTCAGTTCGACCGGGTTTATGCCAACAACTTCGTTTTTTCTGTACAAATCTCTCTGCTTCAGCTGCTTTACATTTCGGAAGAAATAACTTTTCTTCCGCAACAAGCCGATCCGGATTGCATCAATCTGCCTGGTTTGATGTATTTTCCATAGCAAAAGGACCCCGTGAAGTTGTAGCACTAGAGCTACGAGCGTTGATAACGCTACGATGGGAGCGAACGATATAACTGTTGAACGTGGCGCCATCTTTGTTTACTTTCTTGAATTTCGCGCTCAAACTCGTTCCCAGGGCCTCAGTCCACGTTTCGCGCCCTTTTCGGCTCTTTTTCATCCCGGTAACCGGGCTGAAATTTCCCATATGAACAGACGACAAAATTCGTCCCGGTAACCGGGCCAGCCCGGTTACCGGACTCATATGAAGAGGCCCTCGGTTTCTACAACCGAGATCTCGGTAACCGGGCTGGCCCGCCTTCTCATATGAACACATCGAAATTTTTACAAAGGAAATAGGAGTGAGGCGAGATCTCGGTAACCGGGCTAGCCCGGTCAACCGGGCTCATATGAAGAGGCCCTTAGCCCCTAGCAATATAGCGGAAACTCAATTCGATGATGATGAGACTGGGGAATACGACGCCGAGCAGGACAGCGAAGAAAGCTTCATTCGGTATTATTTTTTCAGAGGCTTTGAGTACAAAGAAATAATTTTGCTCCTATTGAAAAACCATGGCATTGAAATGAGCCTAAGAACCTTGAAAAGACGAATCAAGAGTTACGGTCTTAGGAGACAACAACTAGAATACAATATCGATCAGGTCAGAGCATCTGTCCCAACTATTATTGACGGCCATGGATCTTTGCAAGGGTACAGGTCGGTGTGGCACACACTACAGCTAAGAGGCACCAGATAACCGCGCGTCGTTGTAAAGGAACTTCTTCGAGAGATGGACCCGTAAGGCTCTGAATTAAGAAAAGCACACCGCCTGAGGAGGAGGATTTATCAAAACCCAGGTCCAAACTACTCATGGCATTGCGATGGCTATGATAAACTGAAACCATTCGGTTTTCCGATTTATGGTTGCAGGAGCAGGAAGATCATGTGGTTATATGTAACGCGATCCAATAACCAGCCAAACAACGTGGCAGCCTATTTTCTTGATGCTGTTGGAGAGTATTGTGGATGCCCAGTTGATCTCGTTACTGATCTGGGTACTGAAAATGGAATTATTGCGGCCATACAGTCTTTTTTCAGCGATGACCCAGATAGCCATAGATATGTGCCATCACCTCGAAACTAACTTAGACGTGATTTTATTTGACAATCTACGCGCTTAACGCCCTGAAAATACTTAATCAGATACATCGCTGTACGCACGCAGAACTAGTTTGATTATTCCGTGCCGGAACATTCCTGCCACATTCTTCGCATCTACTGTAGCAGTAACGAAATATCAACTCGCTTGATATATAATCAAACACATGAAACAAAAAAGACGTCAATTTTGAGCATAGAAACGCTTCACGATAGTGGAAATGAGTTCGTAAACGGGTAGTGGGTGGTAGACTCAATTCGCGGTTTGTTTACATGACACTATACATGAAATCTAAAGCTTAAAAGGTGAATTAAGTGTGTTGTGTATCAAGCAATTCACTTCCTAGTTAGCAATTATTAGTTTTATCAAAAGAGGTCTTTTCGCTATTTATGATAACATTTTGCTATTCTTCTTACTTGTCTGTCTGTTTGTTTTTTTGTTTATCGCCAATAGGAGCTGATACAACCCCTAAGGATAATAACTCAGGCTACCAAGCAGTAGAATATGCTGGGATTGGAAGCATGATAGGATTCTGGACTAAAATAAAGGATATGGTAAGATGTTAATGTCTATCTGAAGCTATCCTTCAAATTTTTGTGAGCTGTGCTTGCATCGTATAGGGCAAATATCACAATATTTTTTAAAATTGTATCGTCAATATTAAAAGATTGTAACATTTCAATTAAGAGAAATAACAGATATTGCAGCTGTATTTTGTAATTGAAATGACACAACTTGTTTTTCAGTGTTTGAAAGGAAAAGAGAGGAGAGAGATTGAGGAAAGTTGGTGCTATCCTTTGGAGATGAGATTGAAAGACAATATTATAGGACAAGAAGGAGCCATTCTCACAGTTGCTGCAGGTATGATTTTCTATGCGACAAAATCAGTTTGGAAGACTACAGTTTGGCAATTTTGGGAGTAATATTCTACTGAATCTGTTTTTCATTTGTTTGCAGCAATTCGTAGAAGAGAAAATGGTTGGTATGATGAAGAACATCCCCTTGTGTTTCTCTTTCTTGGATCTTCAGGGATTGGTAAATTTCAGTGCTTTTTTGGAACATATTTAGTTTACACATGAATTTAGTCACAAAACATACGCGATCTGATATTTCATTATTAATGACTGTGACGTTTCATTATTCTCTTTGAATGTTCCTTCCTGTAGGAAAAACAGAGCTTGCCAAACAAGTGGCTCGTTGTCTTCATAAAGACAACAGGAAGGTAGTGCAGGATTTTTTTTCAATTGTATTTGGTTAATAATTTGTTGAAGTATTTAAAAGTTGCTTTCTCTCTCCCAGTGTTTGGTAAGACTGGACATGTCTGAATACCAAGAAAAGCATGAGGTAAGAGTTGATTTAAATGAAAAACTCAAAGAACGTTCTCAGAAAAAGGAAACTTTCCTTTGACATAGACAACTAAGGTAAAAGGTTTATACGGGTAGCCAAGAGGAGAGGGGGAGGGGGAGATGGTGGGGCACTAAAAAAGTTCAAGATTCCCCAGAGACTCTCAATTCCCATTGGCTTGTTGTGATATTTTCCTTTGTTTTTATTGGCTGTTGTACTTGCTTTGGTTTCGGTTTTACACTCAAACAAATAGCGCTTAAACTGGAACTTAAACATCTTTCTTTCAAGGTTGCGAAAATGATCGGTGCACCACCAGGTTACCTTGGACACGATCAAGGCGGACAATTGACAAAGGAACTCATAAAGTGTCCAAACGCTGTGGTGTTATTTGACGAGGTAAGAAATAAACGATCCTCAATTTTCTTAGACGTTTTTTTTTGTGTGACTAAAATCACTGGGCTCATCTCATTTTTTAATGTCTTTTTAGGTGGAGAAGGCCCACCCAGACGTTTTAACAGTCATGCTCCAATTGTTTGACGAGGTAGCATCTATACTTAAATTTGAGTGAAGATTGTTTTTTTTCTTCAATTTGAGTCATACTAGGTTTGAAAATTTTTCATTTTGTTGTTTTACTTCTTTTTAAGTTTTGATGAAAAAAAAACCTCTGTTTTTGATTCAGGGTCGTTTGACGGACGGACAAGGGAAGACAATTGTATGTAAAGACGCCATTTTTGTGATGACTTCAAACCTTGCTAGTGAAGAAATAGCAAATCACGCATTGGAGCTGAGAAAAGAAGCAAAACTAGCTGCTGAACAAAGACAAGAAGGTGAGTTTTGTTGTGGAGGCTTAAATTTCGCTGATGTTGGACGACGAAATGCGGGATGAATTTGGACAGACGTGCAACATTTCTAACCACAAATTTGCACCTCGTTCAAGTTACTCGTGAAATAATAGCCAGTCTGGCTGGAATACAATGGGAGAAGGGAGGGGAATGAGGAAAATGAGGAAAAAATTAACACAAACACACTAAACCAAAGTTGGTCTCAGGAAGAAAAAGTTTGTTCTTTTTTTTGCAATGTGTATGCTTTCTCGTGTTGCATGTGCAGGATATCACTGTGTTTCTTTTCAGGTGATGAAGTCAGCGAAAAAGTTACTTTATCAAGAAATTTTAAAGAAAGAGTGGTCCAGCCTATTCTGAAGGTAAACATTCCTTTGGCGATAAATTGCAACAAACGTGGTAAACATTTCCGTAGCGATAAATTGCAACAAACCTGGGTTTATGAAGTTGAGAAAAATGAGTGATGTCTTGAGAATTCGTGAGTATTCATTCTTTTAAAGCTAAAGGGTAGTTATCATAACATGTTCTCTAGCGCTTTTTGTTTCTCTTCGTATCGACAGAGTCAATTCGGACGTGACGAGTTCCTGGGTCGCATCAATGAGATTGTGTACTTCCTGCCATTTTCACGCCCAGAGCTTTTAAGCTTAGTGACGAAAGAGCTGGATTACTGGTCAGAAATGGTCTGTAATGTGCTCTCCTGTGACCTTTTGTAAATGATCTCGAGCAGTTGTTTAAGAAGTCATCTAAGTCCCTGCCCAATTTCTTCTTTGTTTGAATACAGGCGTTGAATCGACACAATATCCACATGACTTGGGATAAAGAAGTCTTGAATGTACTGGCTGATGGCTACGACGTACATTACGGTGCGAGGTCAATCAAACACGAAGTAAGATCGATTATGTGTTTACAACTTTACCTTGTGGTGTAATTTTACCCTCCCCTCCTCCACTAAAATACTCACACCTCTTGTTTTCGACGGCTTTTTGTCAGGTTTTTTCTCTTCTCCTCACTGAAGCGTTTTGATACAATTCAACGCCAAACATATGAGAAATTGAAAGTAACATGAAACTTTTTCATATAACCGGCACTAAAAAAATGAAATGGAGGGGGAAATAATCACCGTTGAAAGGAGAATATGTTGCTGGCAAATAGTGGAAATGCTGGTAACACAGTCCGAAATTGAACGAAATGCTGCGGCTGTTGGAAAGTGCAGAAAGTCTTTCTTTGTAGTGTGGTAATATATTCATAGTCGGAGGACCCTCACCTAAATATTTGCTATTATTTGAATTATTCTCATGCAAAAATTATTGGTTGTGATGCAGGTTGAAAGAAGAGTCGTCAATCAACTTGCTGATGCGCATGAGCAAGAGTTAATAACTCGGGGATGCACTCTACACTTAACAGTGAGCTACCCCAAAGATAAAACTGGATGGAACTCAGAGGAAGTAGCTCCTACCATCAAACTGCAGCTCTTTAAGGAAGGAAAAAAGAAAGTTGACATTGATGTTGGAAACCATTTCGTTCCTGAAGATAAACTGTTCGTTTGAAGAAGAGAAAGCGAGCAACTAACGACCCAGGAACGGAAATGAATTTGAAGACACTTGGTCTTGAGGATTCACACGTTAAGTGTATAATGTTCATGGAGAGCATGTTGGCTGAATTTTTAGTGTAGAGCCTCATAATGGTGCGCCAGGTGCGCCTACGGTGTTATACATGCGTGACATTTTTCGGACGTTACATGTACGAGTAAGTGATCCGTTTGAGGGTCACCGAGTTAGTGTAAATATTTGACCCCTCAATATCACGTAGTGTCTCTAGTCTACAGAGGTCTTAGAAGACTTCATTACATGGATTTACCTTTCGCGGGTAAAAGGTTAAAAGCGAATTTCTCGGGCGTAATTGCCTTTGATTTCTCAATTGATGTTGTTGCAAATACAGTTTTAAGGAGTCACGAAACAAAAAAACTTATCAGGACCTATTTTCATGTTCTAATGGAAATAAATAGCAAATAATAACAAATTCTCTTGAGAAATAAAGTTATAAATAACTGGGGTTCTTTGAAACAAATGGTGATAGAAAAGGTTTCAGTTCTGGTCAATATTGACTTTTCATAGCCTTCTTCCAAATCTGAGGGAACGCGCTGAGGGAATAAAAAAAACATACATGTGTTATAATGCAAGAAAGAGAATACAAATACAAATAAAGAAAAAGGAGAAAACATAGGAACCCGTGTTGTAGCGTGCAGATATCTATTGAGCCAGACCTGCACACCTAGGTCCGACACCACGCAAAGAAACTCGAAAGAGTGCTGTATATGAACTGGCTCGCACGTGCACGCAGGAAAGGCCATGACAATCAGCAAAAATAATGACAAATGCAGATGACATCTGCAGTCAGAAAACAGATAAATAAGTTAACAGAAAGATTAAGAACTTTCTAGAAGTATTTTCTTGAAAAGAAAAGATGAACAATTCTTACTTCTCATGAAAGGTCACGCAGTCACGCTACAAATACTATTTCTACGTGGAGTTTCTTGATGGCGGGAAAAACATTTTCCAGTCTTATTTTCTGGAAACACGGCGCAGTTTATAAATTTCAAGGGGCTATTGATATTTCCTTTCAAATAAGGGGGGGGGGGGGAACGAGTTTCCCATCATCCGCGGTCTGGAAAAGCCGAAGTCGTTATACACGGGAACTTGTACGTCAACAAGCACGCGACATGTGACTTTACAATCTTCTCTCTAGCTACAGCTTCCTTATTGTGAACTGTGCGATAACGATAATAAACAATCAAATTATAGACTAATGAATGTTTTGTTCTGTACAAGAGCCCTATTTCCTGATTTTAATAAATCTTCAAAGTAATACACGACAGAGGAAAGAAAGGCTACGATTTTCTCATCGAGTTTCCGCCTACATGCATCTCTCTAAATGCGAAATTTTCCATTCCTACAACAAATCTCAAAAGTTTTTCACATTTTTTACCTTTCTTGATCAGTTATCTTGAATTAAGAGCTTAAAAATGTCGGTTTATTTAGTAAAGTGACCGCTTAGAGCAAGAATTGCGTGACAGGTGTAGTTGAGAGAAACTTGTCACAGTCGCAGATTTTAAAGGCATCCAAGACAAAAATACGGTGGTGCCCACAGATTTTTTTTGAGATGAAATGATGGATTATAAAGGGGAATCACGATAAGTGTTGTAGCTTTCTGGCAAGGGGAGATATTTGACCTCAAAGTTGTCAAATATTTGGATAAATCGAAAAGTCTAAAAACACAGTCATTTATTTGCCTCTGTTGATTGACAAGCCGTCAATCCAATTGACTGATACTTGCGACGGACATTAACTAAGGATGTAAAAATATGTGTGCAAACCCTCAGAGTAATTGGTCAAATACCATCGCAGTGAGAGCTTCATACATTTTGCCTATTTTGAAGCGATTTCCTTGGTGAAAACCAAGAAAAACCGGGGGGTGGTCTATTTCCCCCCGGAAAAAACCAAAACAGAAACCAGTTTGTCTTCTTGAGTTTTGGGGTAGAATCTTTAAACTGACAAAGTTTCACTGAAATTAGTGAGATAGCATGCAACACGACTGCCCCGGTGTTCTCGTGGACACGCTCTTAAGTAGTTGCAGTCATCATTATAGTGTAGTCCATTGATCCAGGCTTTCTTCTCTCCCCCTCCCCTCCCCACTCACACAAAAAATTCTAATCATCATTGCCAATTGTGGTTGCCCTTGTGAGGTATTTTTATATATTGCTACAACTAAAATATTTTCAGGTTCAAATTTTTTTTAACTTGTTTTATTTTGTTTTCCTCTGTTTTGGATTGTAATGATAAAAACATCCAAATTGGAAATTTTTAAACCATAGAAAAAGTTTGTTATTAAGTCACAACATACGTAATATGTATGCTCACTTTAATTTACACCTGGTTTCCTTTTCTTGCTTTGCTTTGGACTTCAGATATCTTCCAATCTGTCTGGTGATGAATTCTCAGAATTAACCCCGTTTTCCTGGAATTAATTAGAAAAAACGGAAAATCAGGGATGTCCCGAGTTATAATTTATTCCAATTTTATGATGAATGGACACAATTAAGCCCGTTTTCAGAACTCATTGAAAAATTCAATCGGCACGTTGGAATATATTCTTTTTATGAGATGACTTGTTTTTTTTTGTAGAATTCTCGGAAAATAATGGAAAATTGGTTAATGATTACATATAACAAGTTGGGATATGTTTCACTTGTAGGATGAATTGTCCGATTTCACCCCACTTTTTACAGAATTCTTAGAAAAAAAGCAAAAAACCGGGACAAAGATTGAATGTGACTTGTTAGGATGTATTCCACTTACAGGATGAATACTCAGATTTTACCCCGTTTTTCCAGAATTTACTCAAAAAACGGAAAATCGGGGTGAAAATTGACTATGAAAAGCTATGATGTATCTTATTTGTCTCTAATAAATGAAAAAAATGGAAAATTAGGGTAAAGATTTGATAAGGCAAAATTGGAAACTCGGAGTAAAGGTGGCATATGGGAGCTAAGGGTATTATGAATTCTCAGAGTTTACCCCGTTTTTCTAGAACTAATTCATTAAAACTAAGGAAAATCGGGGTAAAGATTTGACATGACAACTAAGGTTATATTCCACTTGCGTAATGAATCGTCAGAACTTATCCCATTTTTCTAGAATTCGTTGAACAAATGGTTGGACATTGCAAGTCATGGTATTAACCACTCGAATTGTCACGATTTACCCCGTTTTTCTAAAGTTAATTGAACAAATCGGAGTAAAGATTGGATATATATATATATATATGTTGGATATTATCTACTTGTAGGATGAATTGTCACAATTAACCCCGGGTTCCTAGAGTTAATTGAGAAAATGGAAAATTGGGGTGAAGATTGGATTTGGCATGTTAGGATATATTCTACTTGCTGGGTAAATTGTCAGAATTTATTTCGTTTTTCGAGAATTTCCACATTCAATGAAAAATGGAAAAAGGGGTTAATATTGGATATGTCAAGTTTGGATGTATTGCACATGCAGGGTACAAGCTGTGAAATTGTTTTGATTTTCGAATGCACTCAAAACATGGAAATAGGGATGAACAGATATACTACAGTTGTAAGTTAGATCGCTGGAATTGCACCCTTTATTCGCGTAAAAGAATTTTGGGTCGGGGGTAGGTGTCGGAAGGTAACCCTTGGGTGAAGTCAATAATTTTAGCCGGTACATTGTAGAATCCCTTGCACAAAGCCTGGGGATTATTAGACAAATATCACTGAGTCTGAGGAGATTATTTTGCTGGAAAAGAGAATGTAGCCTTCCCTATAAGATATTTACCAGTCTGCAAGTTTTTCACCACTGTGATGTTCTGATTGTTGAAAAGGGTCTGCATATTGCTCACACCCTTGGAATTTAAGTCAATTTAGCGTTAAAAATGTTTTCAGGCAATGAGAAATTTTCCCAGAAGTCGCTGTACATACAGATGCATGTGCATATATTGGCGGCAACCTATTGATTTATCTTTGCGTTATAAGCAAAGTGAACATCTACGTAGAGACCCACGGGTATTATTCACCATCAGATAAAACATTGTCACAGAATAATTGAAGGGTTGAGTGCAAAAGAAGCCCTTGGTGACTTGCGATGAACTACTATCATCTCATTCCAACGTGCTGTCTGTTTACTTGTGGAACCAAAGAAGAACTTGACATGACATCAAGAGTCACTTAGTAGGACTTCACAAAAGAAAAATCTATGTAAGCAAAGGACAAGTTTTAAGTTTCCCTTCCAAATATTTAATGTCTTCCGATCACATTGACATACTATTACGGCTGTCCTAAACAAGATCATTAAGCCCACTTAAAAATAAAAAAAGAAACAATATCCACTAAATTTATAACATTGATAAAGTAATTTTCTAAGAGATCAGGATTTCTCATATTCGAAAAAAAGAGGAATTACTAAGTGAAATAGATATATAGGTTTAAAATTTTAAAAGGGATAAGTTAAGTATAGGTATGTTTCGGAAAAATTATTTTGTTTGTGCAAGGCTTTCACGTGTACGTTTTTTAAAATTGATTATTAATATTAAAGTATAAAATAAACCTCTTGGCAATGTAAGATAACTCACTAAACTTATTAGTGAAATCTTACATTGTCAAGAGAGGCATGAAAATGATAGTTTTTCACCATCACTTCCTTTGCTTGATCTGCCGGTTGCTTTTCTTGCTGATGGTGGGGCACAACCGGGCCGCGTCTCGTCGGGCATTGGGCAAGTATGTGGCCAAACCTTCTACACTTGTGACAACAAACTAGAATAAAAACATAAATGAGAAAATTACAGACAAGCACAATGTTGTTGCAGTCCAAATAAGAGGGAAGGGAAGTTTTCCAGGTAAATGTCTTCGAGCTTTAACCTCTCTAAGTAGAGGAAAAACTAAAGTCCTAATTAAAAGTCCTGCCTCAAGTGAGCATCATCTAACCTCACCTCAGACTCAAACGGTAAAACCTTTTGGGTCGAGGTTAGACAAAAAGGAATCTTTTGGCACCAGACACACCAACAGTTGTGTATACATTTTATTATTCATCTTCATGAAATACCTGTACCAGAATTTTGACTGTTCCTACAATGTTTTCTCCTACTATCTTTCACAAGATTTTGATGTTGTCATAGTTATCAAATTAAAACTGAGATTTGTCTCTTTCGACCAAAGTGTTTCCTGTAGATATTTGAGCGAGATATACATGATTAAACACAACACTTCATCTTCACATTCACTACAATCGTGTGCTGTGTGTAATCTTATTATTTATGGGTCACTTGGAAAGAAGCCTCAAGCGACTTGTTAGACATGTCACTGAAATGGGACCTTTTATAGTCAGTCAACAGTCAAATGCTTGGTTTTACACTTACCTCTTCTCTTATGTCTTCCTCTGTTAATATCATCCTGGGTTCTTTCTTTTGCGGCTACGCCCACTCTTCTTCTCCCCCACTCCACGCCTCTCATCTCTCGACGTCTCTCTCTTTTTCCTACTCGCACGCTTTACCATGCAACCACACGAGATCTACAGTATTTAGCCCAAAACTTGAATTTAAGTATAGATGCTACCTCATCAAACAACTGGAGCATGACTGTTAAAATGTCCGGGTGGGCCTTATCCAC